TATACCATCCTTATTTCATATGGCTTAGGACGATGCATCAAAGTACGCGGGTTCACATATGCAGAAAATGTAATACTTCAAGTCGAAGGATAGTTACACCCGTGGTCGCGCTAAAGATGCTTAGAGCATGAACTAAAAGTTCAAGCAACATCTTTAGGATGGGTCAGTCCGGCATCCTATTATCTCTAGATAATACCTGCCCATGTGCGGATGCGAACACACCGTCATTGACTATGAGACTAAGTCAAACATCCAACACACACTAGTCTCACATGCATTAACGATATCCCACTCTCGTTAATACTCGACTATGGACATTTAGATAAATATTTATTTCAAGATGTTAGTCTCATCAGCAGAATAACATTATCTGATAAACATCTTTTAAATATAAATCTAGGAATATAATATTTGTTTACATTAGCATTAGATGTGTAAACATATTATATCTGCCTATACATGATAGAATAACGATAAACAGTTGGCCATCAGGGCACAACTCCAACACTAACATGATGGCCAACATTATGGAGCGACTAGATAAGGCTCTTCCAGGACCATCCGGTACCCGGGACGTCCCTGCCGGGCAACCTCGCCAGGTCTTGCGTACTGCAAGCTCTCCTATCCTCCAGGAGCTGCATGATCCGGAGGACGTTGAAAGAGAGAGGCAAGCCGTTAACCGACGCCGGGCAGAGGAGATGGCCCGGAATAGCAAGGTGAATGAAGGTCAGGCCAAGGATCCAGGCCGGATCTTTGGCGATGGACACGAAAACCCGCGGGGATCTGTCTTCGAAAGGATTTCTCGCCAGAAAGCTCACGTTAGTGAGAGGCTGGGGAAGAATCTGGAAAAGGCACCCCAGGGATGGATACGACCTCAGGCCAGCCAGGTGGCATCCTCCAATCGCGAACCCCGGCAGCGAAATGATCGAGGCGTGAGCCAAGTGCCGGTCCGGTCCTTACGGAATCTGGAGGATGACGAGGTTCAAAGCCAGGCAAGGGTCCCAGCACCGCGGCGTCTGGGGCCGCCGGTGCCGGAAGCTGGTGAATTTCAAGACCTGAGACAGCAGATCCAGGAGATGCAGAGGAAGATAAACAAGGGTCGAGTATTCACTACTCGAACGAATACTCCCTTGGCTCCAGAGATCTTTGCGGAACCATATCCGCAGGGATTCAAGATGCCATTTGTTAAGCGTTATGATGGGGAGTCAGATCCCCAAGAACACATAAATAGCTATGTCCAAGTGATGATCGCTGTAGATGCCAGTGATGCACTCATGTGTCGGTGTTTCTTGCAGACCGTCGATAGCAAGGTTGCAGATTGGGTCAACCATATTCCCGCCGGGTCAATCCGGACGTGGGATGAGTTGGGACTACGGTTCCTGGAGCATTTCGCCGGGAACTGCCGTCCCAAAAAGCATTTCACTCACTTGGCGTCAGTACGGCAGAAGCATGGTGAATCCTTGAAGAATTTCCTTATTCGATGGAGGAAAGAGTCCAGTGAGGTTGAAGGAACTGATGATAAATCCAGGTTGGCTATGTTCACGGCGGCATTACAGGATGGCCTCCTTCACACCGATCTCACTACTCATCCCCCGGACACCTTTGAAGAAGCGATGGTCCGGGCAGGAAGGTATGTGACCCTGGAAGAAAGAAAGGAGGAGAAGAAAGAAAAGACTCCTAAGGAAGAAGAAAAGATGGGAAGTAAAAAGCCATTCAAAAACAAGAAGCAGGGCTTCCCGGATGGCCCAAAGGGCGCAAGTCCTGGGGCATCGGAGAAGCATAAATCCGCCAATCCGGTCTTCACACTGCCAGTGGCCGAGGTCATGGCCCATGCTGCACAGCAGGGACTTATGACCTATCCAACTTATTCTCAGAAGGTCTGTAACGTGGAGGACACGGGGAAGTGGTGTGCCTACCATCGCAAGAATGATCACAACACGGAAGATTGTTACACTCTTAAGAATGAGATGGCAAGGCTGATCCGCCGGGGTCATCTGAAGACGTTCGTACAAGACGGTGACACCGGGAATCCTGGGAATGCCCAGAATGGAAAACGTAGAGATAAAGAAGTGGCCCAGGCTGAGGCCCGGGAGAAACGCCACATTGGGCTGGAAGATGAAGAGGAAGATTCAGAACCCGCACCACATCGCCAGAAGAGACACCATGGGTGTAATTTCATCATTGGGGGAAATACTGGCGGAGACTCGGCCACAAGCCGGAAGAAGTGGGCAAATGCGGCAACGGTCAACAAGGTGCTGGTCCCGGAAGGTAAGAAGCTGAAAACCGAGCCTATTGTATTTTCTAATGCTGATCTTCCAGAGACAGGGGTCCCCCATAGGGACGCCCTGGTCATTACCATTGATATAATGGACTTGCTGATCCACAAAACCCTTGTGGACACGGGAAGTTCCGTTAATATCATGTATATGGATACATACAAGGCTCTCGGATTGACAAGGGATGAGTTATCGCCCATCAAGACTCCACTGACCAGTTTCACTGGTGACTCTATTGAACCGGAGGGGGTGATAACCCTCCCGGTTGAGATAGGGGACACTAAGGCTACCCGGAAGTTGGACATGGAGTTTGTCGTGGTGGGGATAATTTCCAGCACGAACATTATCTTGGGCAGACCCGGATTGGAAGATTTGGAGTGTGTCATCTCACCTCGTCACCTGTGCATAAAATTCCCAACCCCTTATGGAGTTGGAATTGCCAGGGGATCGCAGAGGGTGTCCCGGGCATGGTATTTGAAGGCGACCAAACAGCCGGTCAAGTATGATACCCAGGTGGGAGAGGTGACTGCGCAATTCCTCAGGGCTGAGGAGAAACGTCCTAGAGTAGAAGTAGCTGGCGACATTGAAGAAGTGGAGCTGGAGCCAGGCACGCCGGGAAGATTGGTCAGGGTTGGTAAAGGCCTGGGGGCTGAACTCAGGTCACGAGTGATTTCAGTCCTCAGGAGGTTTAGAAAAGTCTTTGCATGGAGTCCAGCCGATATGCCAGGATTGGATCACAAGATTGCAGTTCACCGTTTGAATGTTCTACCGGATGCCAAACCAGTGAAGCAGAAACGGAGGCATTTGTCACAGGAAAGAAGAGATTTCGTAAAGAAGGAGGTAGCAACCCTGCAGAGCATTGGGTATATCCGGGAGGTACAATACCCGGATTGGTTGGCGAATGTAGTCCTAGCGCCCAAGCCTCCTTCATGGAGGATGTGCGTCGACTACACAGATCTGAACAAGGCATGTCCCATGGATCCATTTCCACTCCCCAATATAGATCAGATGGTTGATGAGACTGCCGGGTCAGAGTTAATGAGCTTCATGGATGCCTTCAGCGGCTACCATCAGATCAGGATGCACCCGGCATATCACAAAAATATTTTATATATATTTTTAAATTAATAGGTAAAATGTTTAAAAAAAATTCAAATTGCTTTTTATTTATAAGCTTTTTAAAATAAGTAAATTTTATTTTTTATTTAATGAAACAAGTCAAGTAAATTAAGTTAAATTATAAATTTAGTAAAACATTAATTCTTTATTTATAAATAGAGGAAATATTATTTTATTTACTCATATATTAGTTTTTTAATTCAATGCCACAATGTGTCTATACATACATACATATATGCATATACACACACACACAGATATATATATATATATATATATATATATATATATATATTAAAAATGTTTGAACCACTGGTTCGACCAGTAAACCAGTGAACCAGTGCCTTGACCGGTTCGATCACCGGTTCGGTTCTGAAAACTATGATCCCGAGTTTGCAAAGAAGCTTGCCTCCCTTGCAGATTTGTATGTTAACGATGCATTCGGTACTGCCCATAGAGCTCATGCATCGACAGAGGGAGTTGCCAAGTTCTTGAAACCGGCTGTTGTTGGATTCCTTATGCAGAAGGAGCTTGACTATTTAGTTGGAGCGGTGACTAGCCCTAAGAAGCCATTTGCTGCCATTGTTGGTGGGTCAAAAGTGTCCACTAAAATTGTTGTGATTGAGTCACTGTTAGAAAAGGTTGACTTGCTATTGCTGGGTGGGGGGATGATCTTCACTTTCTACAAGGCTCAAGGACACAATGTTGGGTCCTCTCTCCTAGAGGAGGACAAGCTTGACCTAGCCACTTCTCTCATTGAGAAGGCCAATGCTAAAGGAGTCTCATTGCTGCTTCCTACTGATGTTGTGGTCGCTGACAAGTTCTCTGCTGATGCTAACAGCAAGGTGGTTACCGCTACTGAAATTCCTGATGGGTGGATGGGGTTAGATGTTGGGCCTGACACAATCAAGTCATTTGGTGAAGCTTTGAATGCCACCCAGACTATCATATGGAATGGGCCTATGGGTGTGTTTGAGTTTGACAAGTTTGCTGCTGGGGCTGAGGCCATAGCAAAGAAATTGCCTGAGCTCAGCTTATGAAACCAATTCCGAGGAGATTGCCGCAAGCCATACAGAGATTTCCGGAGTCGGCACACCTTGCCAGGGATAGAATACCCCAGTGGGAGCCGCATATAGACCTCGTCAATAAGATCTCCGTTCAGAAAAGCATTATTAACGTCAAGCTGATGAACCTCCCAATTCCTAGCCACAGCCACAGATAACAAAATACGAACAGTGCCCATTTTAGCAACAGGGGCAAAAGTATCAGTATAATCCTTACCAAATTCCTGGTGATTCCCCAAGACCACAAGACGTGCCTTATCTCGTTCTTTCGTACCGTCAGACCGGAACTTAGTCCGATAAACCCATTGACACCCCAAAGCAGTACGATCAGGAGGAAGATCTTTGATGTCCCAAGTGTGATTGTTTTCCAATGCGTCAATCTCCTGCTGCATAGCTACACGCCAATTTGCATGTTGCATGGCCTCCTTGAAATTCCTTGGGACCTCATTAGATGTCATAGCCGCCAAAAAACCACGATGCCTGTCATGAAATTTCTCATAATGAACAAAATTATGGATAGGATACCAAGTACCTGAAGAACGAGAAGAGGCAACGGAAGGAGCAGCCGGAGCCAATGTCTAGACGGTATGACAATAGTAATCGGCTAGGTGAGGAGGGGGCGACGTTGACGAACTGGAGGTAGGGGTGACGGTGATGGCGAAGTGACGGGGCTGTCATTGTCGGAACCCGCGTCGCTACCGCCTGAAGACGCCGGACTGCCGCCGCTGAGAGAAGCCGCGGGAACAGCCGGCTGGAGAGGGGGGCTTGGGAAATCGGCGTGGACATGGGACGGGGGTTGGCAGTTTTGAGACGGTGAGTTTTTAGCAATTGCAAACGGAAAAACAGATTCATCAAATGAAATGTCTTGGGTGTGAAAGAAACGATGAGACTCAAGATCATAAACCCGCCAACCTTTAGTTCCTGAAGGGTATCCCACAAACATACACTTTAGACTACGAGGGTGGAATTTGTTTGGTGGACGTTGAATATTACGGACAAAACAGAGACACCCAAAAACCTGGAGGTGAGACAAGTCTGGAGGTTTTGAAGAAAGAATTTCGAAAGGAGATTTACCTTGTAATAGTGGAGTGGGTGTACGGTTAATGAGATAAACAGCGGTGCGAACACATTCCCCCCAAAACTCAAGAGGTAAAGAAGCCTGAAACATTAAAGAACGAGCAACATTAAGGATGTGACGATGTTTACGCTCAACCCGACCATTTTGCTGTGGTGTATTGACACAAGAAGTTTGAACAAGCACGCCCTTACTCGTGTAAAATTCACGAAGAGGTCGGTTGAGGAACTCAGTTCCATTATCAGAACGAACAATTTTTATGATTTTATGAAACTGAGTGTGTATGAGAGCAAAAAATTGTTTCAAGCAACTAGTAACCTCACTTTTCTCAACAAGTAGGAAAACCCAAGGGGAATATGGTCCCCATAAATCACAATGAATTAAATCAAACAATTGTTCAGCTTTATTAATACTGGGAGTAAACGGAGAACGAGTCTGTTTGGAAAAGAAACAAATATCACAAGACTGAAAATTTTTAATTTCAGTATGGCTCTTATTAAACGAAGGAAAAGATAACACTTGAGGGGATGGATGGCCAAGACGCTGATGCAACAAAGATATAGACTCGGCTTTGAAGGCCTGGGCTTGAGAAGGAAAGACATAAACTCCGTTGCGTGCTTCACATTGACCAATCCGCGTCTTCGTAGTGCGGTCCTGTATCACACAAAAATGGTCATCAAAGAAAACATGACAGTTATGTGAATTTACAAGGAAACTAACGGAGATCAAATTGCACTTTAAATTGGGAACATATAGAACATTGTGCAAGATAAGAGAAGGTGACACGTGCACTCGACCACACGAAGTGGACACAACATGGGTTTCATCCGGCAAGCTAATAGTGCAAGGAGACCGTGGTACAACATCCGTCAAGCAAGATAATAAACCGGTCATATGATGATAAGCTCCACTATCCACCAACCATTCGCAAGGTACAAAGTTAGACGTACCTTGTAATTTATCAGATGACGAAGGAGTGGAATCCAGCATGGAGAACAAACGTGCAACCTGATCCGGAGACATGGCAAAAAGAGAGCTGGGCACGTCGGTCACGGCATTAGCTGTAGACGTGCTTGCCGAGGGAGCTGGGTTACCGGACTTCCCGGCAGTGGGGGGTGGCAACTGGGCAGACGTTCGGCCACCCCGATTGCTGCGTCCTCCCCCTCGATTTGATGAGGTGCGACCACGTCCTCGACCCGAAGACGGAAACCCAATGATCAAATAACAACGATCTGCTGTATGGCCTTGTTTCCCGCAATTAGTGCACTGGTACAGATTAGGTCCGGTACGTGGAGCAGCAAATGCCATTGCATCGGTATGGTCGTCCCGAGCATGCACAATGCTACGGTGACACTCCTCCTAGGTTATAATTAAGATAAAAGGCTTTGTTCAAATCTGCAAGCGGTTGAGTACCCAAAATTTGGCCTCGAATAGTATCAAACTGCTCATCATCAAGTCCCAACAAAAAATTTCTTGTTTTCGCCTTCTCTGTGTTTGCCCTTAATGTCGCCGCTGCTGGGCATGCACAACCACACGTGGGATCCTCGATCCCGTATAATTTATTCCATAAAGTGACAAACTGATTGTAATACACAACCACCGTTTGACCCTTTTGCCTAAGATTCTGCAACTCATTCTCCAATTGATAAATCCGAGGCTCATTTATGGTACTATACAGAGTTTTCAAATCAGACCATAATTCGTGAACCACGTATGAGAAGCAATACTAGGCTGTATAGTTTCATCAACGCTATTGAAAATCCAACTGCAAATTGTGGAATTATTTGCTTCCCACGCCTCCAATTCCGCAGGATCAGTAGGTTTAGGCATTCCTGTAGGAGACAAAAACCCCGCCTTACTGCGTCCCTTCAGAGCATTGATAATAGTTTTCTCCCAAGTATCAAAATTTTCACCTTTTAACACATGCTTTCTCAAAGTATTACCTGGACCCTCATACGGATGGAGATAATATTCTGACAAAGGATCGTGGATCAAACGAGTTTTCTTGGTAGTCGCAACCATTCCAAGAACTGAAGATAATAAACGAAGAGATCTGTAACACCCCAACCCGCGTGACCCAAATACAAGGACCAGCGGAGCGGGTTGCTACTACATTGGCATTCAAACACAATAATTTTCAAAATAATTTAAAACATATTTAATTCAAAACAATATTTAAATATCAATCAGAGTAAATCAAAACGGTGCGGAAGCCTTTAAGTACTTAATCAAAATACAACTTTGGGTTCTTGCCCTTAAGAATATAATAATTCAAACTTAAATATTAAATTAGATAACTCCTCCAGCTACCATCCATCCATCTCTTCGCCCTCGCTGCCTCCAAGACCGTCTCATTATTCATCGTTCATGTTACCTACGTGTAGCAAATAGGAAAAAGGGCTACACGCTCAGCATTGAAGCTGAGTGGAATCTATCTAACGTTTCGACTACGCACATAGACGAACCCACTAGCTCATAACTCCATACAATATCATGCACACAAGTTCAACAGTAATTATATCGCATAACAATTATCAGATAAAACAACTACGGAGTATATTATAACAACATACTTGAGATCACTTACCTTTATTCCTCATCTGCCCAAGTCAACATTCAGGTCATTACATTAACTCATATCCAATACTAGCTCATAACCTATTCTAGGCTAAGGCCACTTACTCATTATCCACATTCTTATCTTATGACTTAGAGCCACTACCTACGGCCATGACTCGAAGTCTACTCTATGACCTCAGAACCACTACCTACGGCCATGATTCTGGTCAACCCGGTACCTACGGCGCCGGTTGGGTGGAACCTCCAATCCTACGGATCAGATCCCAGATTCCATGTACGTACATCTTTACCCGAATGCCACTGGACCAAGTCCACAAGGCTCTACACCTATTGTCAACTTACAATCTCAATTCTCACAAAGTAGTCCTAGAGTTCATCTAGGTAACCTATCTCATTAACTTACTTCAATTATACAGATCCACGCTAACAGCCACCTCAATTTACTTTATTCGTTAAAGGCATATCACACCACATTTACAATAAATCAAGAGAGTAGAAGTAGCTAAATAAATCATCATGCAATCCAAATAGCGGCCTAATGTCGGGTGTAAACACCTTACATTTACCGTCATGCAACACATAAAGGCTCAAAGTCAATTCGGGTTCCAAATCAGATCAAACAGTCAAACAACGAAGATTTGCAACTGTCGGTACGGTACCCGTCACGGTACCTCGGCACCGCCTGGGGGTACCTTGGTACCGTCGGTACGGTACCGTTCGACCATCGCTCATAGGTACCGACAGCAGCAACGAGCCTGAGGCGGTAGCTGGGTGCCGTTTGGCGGTACCAGGCTACCGTGTGGCGTCAGATATTTCCTAAAACAACTCAGTTCGATCCAATTCCAAATCATTCATTACGTATTATGTTTTTAAAGATTATTATCATGCAAATCACACCAATTGAAAATAAGAAAGCATACCTGGTCGTCCTCGTTCAATCAATTTCAACAATAACATATAACATAGACAATTCACAATTTAATTATAAACAAATAAACCACGTAATCAATCATACGAAACTACGAACGTGAATTTCAAATCTATATACGAAATCTAGCGTTAGATGTGCAAGTTCATACCTCGATTAATTGAAGACGAACTAAAATAAATCAGCAACCGAACAAGAGGCTGGTGACGATGGGCTGCTTTGGCGATCGAGGAGTCGGCACAGAGGAGCAGCGGCTTTCTGGCGCTCAGTTTTTCCAGCAAAGCTCCGACGAAGTCAGTCCCTCTCTCGTCTAGTGAGATCGGCGAATTGATGAAGAAGAAGGAGCAGCGATGCTCTTCCTTCTTTCGTAGCTTTGTTTTTGCGTTTTCTTCGTTGGTTGATGTACATATGCGTGCATATATAAGTACATTAAAGATGGGTAGAATTTGGGATTTGGGCTATTACCACCATAGTTTTCAGAACCGAACAGGTCAAGGTACTGGTTCACTGGTTCACTAGTCGAACCAGTGGTTCAACTGGTCGAACCGGTGGTCTAAACATATTTAAAAATTATATAAATATAAATAAATATATAAATAAATATATACATAAATACATATACATATATATATATATATATATATATATATATATCTGTGTGTGTATCTATATACACATACATATAGACACACATATTCTCATTTATAAATATCTAAAGAAATTAATTTATAACACTCAAGTAATATTATATTAATATACTTGATACTGGTTTATATTAATACAAAAAGAGTTATATTAGATTTATTATATCAAATATTTTTAAAATATTATTTTATTTAAAAGGTCAAAGGTTAAAAATAGTTGACCGAAAAAGTCAAAACTGGACAAATACTCATGAACGGGGTAATATGTATTTGTAGAATACGTAGTACTTAAAAATTTAAATTTGAGTTACAATATTATATTTTTTAATGTTTTATGAAAAGAAATCATTTTAGAAATTTTTATCTGGATATATTTTATATATTTTTACTTTATGCAAGAAATGACACAAGAGGATTTTAGCTCAGGTGGTGGTTAGGTGGATATAGATGTTGGGAGATCTTGGGTTCGAATCTTTGCATGGCCTCATTTTGGAGAATTTTCGCAAATAAAAGAAAAAGAGTCCGGTTTCCGGTTTTTAAGGCGGTTCCTACCGGTTTTTACCGGTTCACGCCGGGTCGTAGCAGATCCGGTCTTTTGGCCCGGACCGGACTGGTTTGGTCGCTGGTTCTCGGTCCGAACCGGCCGGTCCGGTCTGGTTTTTAAAACTATGATTACCACTACGGGTAGGATTAGGTTATTATATATATTAATAAAATCTTTATATTTCTTTATTGAACTGTCTATTTTACTCACCATGTTTTATACCAATGTCCAAATTTAACAAATTATATATCGTTGGTCACCATTTTACGAGATCTACCCGAAAACCCAATTTTCATATAAAACGGATAACTTTACCAATAATTCATATTTTAGAGTAAATAAATTTAACATTTATTTTTATTAAAATAACGGCTAACTACTAAGCCGGGTTTTGGGTCATTACATTTCTCTCCCCCTTAAAAGGAATTTCGTCCCCGAAATTCTTCTAAGGTAAAGAGTGAAATTGCTAAATGCATTTTAATTATTTTTTTTCCAACAATATATGTACCTAATCTTTGTAAAAGAGATCACTTTAACATTCGGTCAAATGTTTTTCTGATTCATATGTTTTGATTTGAAATCATTACGTTGTGTTCCTCTAAGTAGGTAAAATGACAATCAAACATTTTTTTTTTCAAATTAAGAGTAAATAATTTAAGTCAAACACCATTTTTTTGTTAAGCAAATCTTTTGAAATGTTAAACCTCAAAATAACATGTTTTTTTCTTTACACTATATTTTTTTTTCCGATAACCACAGGTTAATTAACAAACAAATCAACTAATTGTGAAGACAACAATTTTCACATAAGCACATAATAAAGATCTAAAGTTACCTCATGGAGCAGAGGAGTTGCGAGAGATGCGGATGCTGCTGCTCAAGTACCTTGCAACCAAATCAACATTTTTTTGATTTTTTTTTTGAAATCCTTTTTTTGAAAGAGTCCGAAGACCGGGTTTAAAACCAATTGCTCGGATACCAAAATGTAACACCCCAACCCGCGTGACCCAAATACAAGGACCAGCGGAGCGGGTTGCTACTACATTGGCATTCAAACACAATAATTTTCAAAATAATTTAAAACATATTTAATTCAAAACAATATTTAAATATCCATCAGAGTAAATCAAAACGGTGCGGAAGCCTTTAAGAATACAATAATTCAAACTTAAATATTAAATTAGATAACTCCTTCAGCTAGCATCCATCCATCTCTTCGCCCTCGCTGCCTCCAAGACCGTCTCATGATTCATCGTTCATGTTACCTACGTGTAGCAAATAGGAAAAAGGGCTACACGCTCAGCATTGAAGCTGAGTGGAATCTATCTAACGTTTCGACTACGCACATAGACGAACCCACTAGCTCATAACTCCATACAATATCATGCACACAAGTTCAATAGTAATTATATCGCATAACAATTATCAGATAAAACAACTACGGAGTATATTATAACAACATACTTGAGATCACTTACCTTTATTCCTCATCTGCCTAAGTCAACATTCAGGTCATTACATTAACTCATATCCAACACTAGCTCATAACCTATTCTAGGCTAAGGCCACTTACTCATTATCCACATTCTTATCTTAGGACTTAGAGCCACTACCTACGGCCATGACTCGAAGTCTACCCTATGACCTCAGAACCACTACCTATGGCCATGATTCTGGTCAACCCGGTACCTACGGCGCCGGTTTGGTGGAACCTCCAATCCTACGGATCAGATCCCAGATTCCATGTACGTACATCTTTACCCGAATGCCACTGGACCAAGTCCACAAGGCTCTACACCTATTGTCAACTTACAATCTCAATTCTCACAAAGTAGTCCTAGAGTTCATCTAGGTAACCTATCTCATTAACTTACTTCAATTATACAGATTCACGCTAACAGCCACCTCAATTTACTTTATTCGTTAAAGGCATACACTACAAGAAAATCTACTCTTAGTTACGCATCAATAATGACGGGTTGAAAAGACTCTCATTATATGTGTTATTTATATATTTTTTATGACGGGAAAAGTACCGTAGTTAAAATTAGTTACTTTTTGTGACCAATCTTTTAACCCTCACTATAAAATTAATATGGAGTATCTATTTGTATTTAAACCAAATTAAAAGTAAAATATAATTTAAAATTTCTCTTAAAAAAATGTAGTCCAAAATTAATACGGAGTGTTGGATGTTTACTAGAAAAAACCAGCGGCAAGAAATTTGGGATTTGCCGCCTGAAAAAGCCCTAAGGAACTCCAACTCAATAGGAACTCCAGTACCACCGGCCTACAAACTGCTAGACACGCCGAGCTTCCGCCGCTACTCTCTCCACCATTCTATTCAACTGGACTCTTTCCGTCGTTTTTTGCTGAGGGGTACAACCTTACCCCTACCGGTCGGCCAGGTATAATATATTAACCCTCGTCTTTGTAAAAATTCTATTCCCAAATCAGATTATTTTCCTCTATTTGTTTTAGATATGTTAGATGTAATTTTTTGAGACGTGAAATTGTGAATCAATGATTTTTTTTCTCTATTTTTTATCAATAATTTAAGGTGTGTCAGATGTGAAATTGTGAATTTATGATTTTTTTACACAAGAAATATGAATTTGCCCTTTCTGATTAGGTTTATTTTCTTATGATTATATGAAGGTTTTGATTTTGTGTTGATTAAATTAGTAAATTGTTAATTGAAATTGTGAATTTGTGTTTTAGATATGAAAAGTACCAATTTTTCATTATTATTTGTTAAATATGTTAACTCCATTTAGCTTGACACCTAGATGCTTGTCAAACACTAATGCATTACTGCTCTCTCTAAACTAATGAAGCACTCTGTATATTTTTAAGAATGGTAAAGGGTCAATTAAGCCCTCTAATATGATCTCAATCTGAAACTTCTGAAACTTCTGGAAATTGTGTCTTAGTAGTTATATTAGCCTATGATAGTTAAATTAGCCTATGATTGTTATAGCATAGTTAAATTAGCCTATGATAGCTATATTAGCCTATGATTGTTATAGCATAGTTATATTAGCCTATGATTGTTAAGGCTATATACGATTGTAACTAATCTATGAGCATGGGTATGCCATATGAATGTCTCATTGAAACATCATGAGTTATGAAATAAGAAGCAAAATTCTAGTTTCTGGGAGAGTGGTTTTCGCTTGTCACCCGCTTGTGTTTGTTTTGAGCAACTTGCTTTTGGGGGATGGTTTTTGGTTTTCGGGTTCTGGTTTTAGGTTTTCAATATCAGGCTTTTGGGATTTAGCAGCTGGCTTTTGGGTGGGCTGGTTTATGGTTTCAATTTGAAAAGTTGAATGAGGAGCTGATTTTTAGGCTTGGTTTGGAGAAGGATTGTGCTTGTGTATATATTTTGGGACATAGACCAGATTAGGACCCCCCTATACTTCTTTCAAACAGTAGATTAGGACCAAATAACCCTCTTCATCTTTAATGGCACATATCTACTTCTTCATGTCTACTTCTTCTCCTTTTTATCTTAACCATTACTCGGAGTAAACTTCAACTGAAAAGACACAACATTAGTACTCCACATGTTCTTCTCCTTTACTTTCAATATATGTCCTGCACACATTATTGGAGCTAAACCACATGTTCTTCTCCTTTACTTTCAATATATGGTACTACTTAGTACTCCTATCCCTACCACCACCAGATCTTCCTCTTCTGCCAGCAGCCCTTCCTCTGCCAGTAGCTGATGTTTTTGATCCAATGCTTTGACTATAACAAATATGCCATTTGCAGGTCTCGAAGGTACTGTTCACAGTAATGTTTGAGACTACCCTGTCCCAGGTTTTTGCTCTTGTTTTCTCCAATTTTCTGATGCTTCTTGGTCATGATTTGGGGAGTGTTTCACCCCTTTAACTGTATTTTAATTCAATTTTGGGCGTGAATCCCCTGAATTCTCTTTGCTTGAGTAACTGTTCATCCTTTTCATTGGTATCTGTCTGTTCGTGTGTGCTGTTTGTGGGTGCATTTGACTGAATTAATGGTGATTTGGGATGGAAATGTCTGAAAATGTGGATTTTTAATTGAGCCAAGACATGACCTTGACTGCTTTGGTAATTCCACTACATTAACACTGCCTAGGTGGGTCTGCCCAGGTCTGTTCTTCACCCCCGTTTTGCTGCTCTTGTTTCTGCTGCTGCTACAAAGGGCTAAACATGATGGTGGGAAGGGTTTGCAACATGGAATAATCCATCATCTATACACCCAGAAAGAGCTCCAAACAATACACTCTTTAGGGATAGTCTTGGCTACCAAACCTCAATCGTGCGAAAGACAATGCCTTATCGAAGTCCCTCGTCTCCTCCGTCGGTGGATAACTCCAAATGAACCTCTGGATAAGCATGTAGTAAGTACACATACCATTGACATATTTTTAATACTGATTTTTTTAGAATTATAGCAAATTTACTATCGTCTGTGCTCTTTTCCAATGTATTGCGAAGATCCTTACACTTGGAGCCCTTCACCAAGTTGATTCAGCTGCACTTCGGGCTGCAGCTAATGCATGGAACGACAAGTTTGCACCTTTACCAAAACCCTTGCTGGTGGTCAACGTAGGAGGCCCTTCAAGTAACCTTCATTCCATCACTCAGTCTTGTGATGGAGCTAAGGATTCCACAACTGAAAAAGCATGGCAAGTAAATCAAGATGAAAACCCTAATGACTTGCAAGTAAGAGATAGTGAGGATACTGTCCCGGGAATATTATATGACTTGCTATAGAAGGAGG